ATTTCTGTACACAGCACAGAAATATTTTGTCAACATTGCCAAAAGTTTCCCTTGAAATAATGCAATATTACCGGAAATATATTGAAAATTGTTTAAATATTTCTGGAATGTTGCAGGAACCTTGCAATGTCCGCTCAGCACGTTGCAATCATAATATTGCTATAATATTGCCGGTCAATATTTTTGAAATATCAATGCATAATATTAATAAAATATAACTCAGATAGATAACTGAGAAATAATATAACTGAGAATAAATTCCAATGCCAGCAATGTATCGTGGGTTTCTTTAGGCAGGTTGCCTATACCTCCTTAAATATTACCTCGGTTGTATTTTTAAATACTCTATACAAATGCAATAATTTTTTCATCTCTTTTGGCTAATTTGTACAGCTCGGTCGTACGAAGAGTAACATTCGTTCTTGCGCGAGGGTGCACCAGGCGTCCCTGGATTCCCAACTCGCGGAAATATAATTATGCGCAAACTGACGATGGGCGCTATGCCATAGGGATCGGTAGTGGTGCTCAGTCGGGTGGCGCTGTGTACGCCGCTTCCAGTCGTCGTGGTTGAGTACTAGCTGAGTAGAGCGCGTTGCTGCCGCGTGACGTCAAGCTGTCCCGCGTTGCGCGCGCCGCCTGGGCCAGTAGAGCTGCTGTCCGCAGATAGTGCGAGTGTCGACCCTCGCGTGTCGCAGCTCCCTTCCTCCAGGGACTCCAGCTGGCTCCCTCTCTCTCGTTCTCCGCGTCTTCACGGGCACGGCAAGCGAGCACCTATTCGAACTCCGGCAGAGTACACGCAGAACAAAAGAAAATAATAAAATAATCTATCGTAATTTCAATTAGGCCCTTGCGGTCGGTGGATCCTGCCTGGACTTTGCTATGGCCTTTCGGCCCGTATCGCGTTTCGGCGTGATGTTCCGCCGAGGACAAGACGGGTGAAATCCACCACGTCACAGTATATATCGACGGCGAAGACGAAAACCGAATAATCGACGGATTAATTATTTACCCGGTCCTAAGTTTTTTCATGCGAGTTGCCTTGGCGACCTAGCGGCGCGGCAGCGAACTAGTGTTCGCTCGGATACTCCGAGTCTGGTTAGGGACTCTTGTCACAGATTTCAGCAATATATCAGAAAGTTTTATTTATTATATTGCCCTGAAATATTGTGCAATATTTGACATAAAGACATCAACAACATTGCTGTCGCAATGAAATATTCAGATTTCAGCAATATATCAGAGAGTTTTATTTATTATATTGCCCTGAAATATTGTGCAATATTTGACATAAAGACATCAACAACATTGCTGTCGCATTGAAATATTGGAATATTGTTGTAATGTTTTTGAAATATAGTGTGCTGTGTGGGTACGAAGTCTCATTCGGCACTTCATTTCCCATACCGTTTCCTCCCCTTATGAGTACAAATAGACTGTTCCATCAACATCTAGTATGGACTACACATAGACAGAATAAATGGTCGGCTGAAAGAAAAAGATAGCGACTGGTGGCGGCCAAGCTCTATCTTCTTCTAACCAGCAGCCGTAGTACGAGAGTATAGAAAATATAGGCAATGGGGGAACATTAGAAAAGGAGAACAATTGGTCGCCACCTCATTTCGTCTTTGTTTATTTGAGCGGACACTTTTTAAAAGGATTTAAGGTAGGGATTGTCCACACTATATGTCAATAGACTGGGCATACCCATGTATTCTGTGCCTCGCGAACTTTATATGCGGAATATATGTATATCAACTGCGACGTTATTCCCCGAAAACCAAAATCTCACAGCTCAAGTAGATTGACGATAAAAGGTATTTAGAAAGTAGGGAACCGTACACAAAACGCCGTATGATTCTCCCTCAAGAAATTTTGATATTCACGAGACCCGATACGCGATAAACTAAATAGTGTTGGGCGCCAGGTGGTCTCCGGGGAGAACACCGTGAGTGCAGGGCACTCGAGATCTTAGAAATTCTGAAGAAAACGCGGGAACGCTCGGAACAACGAAAGGGAAAAGGAAACAGGTAAGGTGACAATGCCAAGAGAAGAGAAGTGAAACGGTAGGAACGGCGACTCCACCAAGAAGAGAAGAGACAGATAGATAAACGGCGACTCCGCCAAAATAGA